TTAGATTTCTGTCCTCCCCTTCCCTCCCCTCTTCTTTTTTCTAAGTCAGTTCACCAAACTGCTTATCCCCTTCTTTAAATTGTGTGGAAGAAAAAAGGATTTCAAAGCCATGAAAATCCAGCCTTGTTTAACCCTCTCCATAGTGAAGGAATTACAAGGGTCCCCTTTGGTGAGCTCACTGGAGCCTGTGGGCAGCTGTAGAAAAGGGAATGTCAGCCTCGGGAGGCTAAAGCTCAGCTTGCCAGGCATAAGCAGGGCCCTAGTGGAACCTGGACATCTGTTCTTGTCATTTAGTAGCCCTTGAGCTGGTGAAAGAATGTAATGGAAGCTAAAGAGGAAGACAGTACTTCCATGCCAGCCACTTAGTACCATACCAGAGCTTGGGCTGGTAGAAGGTGGACTTTAGAAATTTAGATATTTGATTTTTGGAAAAACAAGTGATATTTTTTCCTTCAAGAGGCGGAGTGCAATTGTGGCTTCTAAAGACTCAAGTGTTAATTTGGCTGTAGTTAGAAGGAAGCCAATTCCTAGTTCACTGGAAAAGAATGAGTTCAGAAGAACAGGTAGGATCAGTTTCTCCATGATTTTTCAGTTGTAAATTCCCTTTTAATTGAATAGTAGACCTTTCTTACATGTCTATAATTATGAAACATTATACAAAAATCCTTTAAGGAAGATTTAAATACATAGGTTTAAAATTTTTATTTGATGACTGGTTTTTGATAATGAGAAATTACTACTTTTGGGGTCATATATTTCATTATTTTCTCTAACAGAACTTGGGATCATTCAGTCATGTTTTCCTTAGAACATTTTGAGAAGGTGTGACCTTCAGTTAAAAATGAAAAGTTACCAAATTTTCCAGAAAGTAAACTAGCTCAGTATGACCACAGAGCAAGAAAAAAACCATCATAAAGACAGTGGGGGCAGGGGTGAGGAATAAGAGGAAGTCTGGTTTCTGGGTATAGGATTTCCATTTTGCTTTGGAATGAATTGCTGCTCGAAGCAACCGGGAGCACTTTTAGCCCAAAGCATTTTATCCCTCCCCACACATACTCCCAGTAAGTGGGGATTGGACCTTGTACATGCTAGGCAAACTCACTGCTGTAGAGCTATATCCCCAGACCCATCTTTTACTTTTAAATTAGTGACTTTCATTTTTTTAAAGGCAATCTTGAATTGGGAAAACAGGCCTGAGGTCAGAATTTCAGATGTCACTTCTCTGGAATTAAGCACCCTTGCTTCCCAAGAGGTGTTCTATAGCAACTTTTCTTGGTTTGCCTCTTTTTTATTAGTATTTCTTCATACTGATTTTCTTGTTTGATCATAGAAGGTCACATGGCCCTAGTGGGAACCTTCTTGTAGTGCTCATGGAGCAGCTCTAACCAGTTGATGTCTAGCTGAAGAAACAATGAGATGCTTCTCTGGAGGGCTGGGAGTTTCACACCTGTTTATTTTAGAGAACATGTAAAATCCTTTGACTTGTGGGTCTGTCTCTAGAAGAAAAACAGCCATGCCTTTCCATGAGTGCCAGTTGCTGGGGTGTGCAGAACACTGTCTTCCTTCAGTGCTCAGAAGCTTGGGGTACACATACATACTGGTGACAGAGAGGTGGCCATGAGCTGGTGGGGTGACTGCAAGACCGAGCTTCCAGTAAATCCTCTGGAATTGGACATATGTCTCCCCACACAAGGAAAGTAGCTTCAGTCTTACCCTAGTTTTGATGTCGAAAGATGTCTAAATTCACAGGCTCTGTCATTAGTCTTCATTGTGGCATTTGGGGACCCTAACAGCAAGTAGCTCAGAATTTAGTTTTGTGTTTAACACATTCCCACCAGCTTGAACCACCAATGGTACGTGTGTGACTGTCCCCTTGGGTGGCATAAGACAGTCCCATAAGCCACCCCAGGGGACAGTCATGCATGTACAACCCCATCATGAATATGTTGTACTTACTACTTTATGGTAAGAATTGGGAAACATCCATCAAGAGAAGTCAGATAGGGAGGGGAGGGGTATTTTTCTTCCTGTTTCTGCCACTGGCCACATTATCCCTAAGTCTCTCAGAATACTTGTTCTCTCTTTGTCCAAAGAGGATAGAATCATAGTTTTAAATGTGCAGAGTATATGCAGTTTTAACTTGAAGCCTTCATTCTGTCTGTGAAATGGCCCTAGTGAGGGGCTGTGTGATGATATGGAACTGTAAAGAAATATAGGGGTATGCTAGTGTGGAAGCCACTTAGAATTTATATGTAGACTACCTCCCAAAAGGGGTAAGTTTGTGCTGCCTGTTTGACTGATGTTTGAATGTTGTGATTCTATCATGTTTTTACACTTTGTGTGGGGGATAAGACTAATTTTAACCAAATACAGGTAATATTGACTATGTCATGTTTTTCTTGAAGTAGATATTTCTGTTTTAGGGAATGGAATGCATAGTAAATATCAACCTGTTGTATACTGCCTGGAGAATATACTATTATTTGAACTGTGATGGTAGCCTTTGGTTATAGGATGCCAGCCTCAAGAACTCTGTGTCTGTTGAGATCTTTATTCTTAATTTTTCAGAAAGCCTGAAGTCTGACTTGTCATTCCTGGAGAGGATTACTGACAGGATCTTTTAGTATTGATGACAGTAAAGGTTGATGCAGCCATGAAAAGGGCTTTCCTTGCAGAGACTAGTACCGTCTCTGCATACATTATTCTTTCCTGGGAAGCAGTGGCATCCAGCACTGCCTCTGCTCTTCCTGGGCTTGTTGGTTTTATCTTGCACCTGTGCTCACCTCTGACCAGCCTGGTAAGCATGAGGTCAGAACCTCTGTGGCTCCCACTTCAAGCAAGTTCATTTGTAAGTGGCCTTGGGGGAGGTCTCCTTTGGCCACAGAAATTACATGAAACAGATATGGGGTAAAAAATATCACCAAAATTACTACTTTCAATTCTTATGAACTTTAAGATCTCATTACGTGCTTCCTTTTAGTGCATTCATGATGCTAAACAGTCAGCTTCTTGTATGTAACATTTTCTGTAAGTGGAGTCTTCCCTGGGGTGGCCTGCGCTTCTCACAGGCATACCCCTCTGTGGGAAGATAGGAGAAAAGAGCTTGCCGGAAGGCCCTTTGGTGCCATGACAGAAGAGATGACCTTCCAGCAGCCTCCGTGGCTTTGCTCTTTCTTCCCCAACTTAGAGAAACATACTGGATTTCATTCCTAAATGGGGATTCTATACCTTGCGAGGCAGGTGGCAGAACCACTAAGCTAAATCCCCGGCCCAGGATTCTGTACCTTGTGAGAGACATCACTCACTTTCTCCCTGGTTTTGTTGATGTGTAC